CCATAATCGTCTTTGGTATTACATGGATAGGACAACACGGGTATGCAGGAACAACAGGCAACTTAGGCGAAATTGATTGAATGCAAGTAACCGCTTCTGCGCAGGTAGCAGCCGGTAAGCACTGGAGCGTATGCGAATTCGAAATGAGACTCGTTGACCAGTTTGTGAATGATGCACCCATACGTGTGGTCTGCAATAATGTGGAAGTTTGCAGACATATTGAAAGATTCACGTCAAGAAAGAAGCACAAGCTTGTACACCCAACACAACCGATTAGTAAATGAATTTACTTATAAAGTTTTTACTCTTAATTTCACATACGATCGCGTAGTTATAACTTCGGTTATGACACTTTAGTACACGCAAGGACGATTGCTAATTAATGGAGCTAGTGTCCGACTATTATGCCTCCAATAGTTCCAGACAGTTTTGTTTCCGGGCTGACCAGTGTGTCAATATTAGCGAAGGCGAATTCATGTCAATGCTTCATCGTGTGATTAGTGACGTGACATAGTGTGTCATCTCTTCGAACGACCCGTTACTGCTCTAGTATTCGATTGCTGAGGTGCCGTTCTGCGTGGTCCGTGTAATGACAAGCACATTTTTGACACGCGATTTCAAAAAGTAATCGCGATAGCCCATCTGCGTCTAGTCGATCATTCATGTTCATGATTCAGCCACGTATGCTAGCCACCGGATAATAGGCGATGCGTACAAACAACACACCTGTACAACCCGTCTTGCTAGCGTGCTTCGCTTTCGTGCTCTTTTGTCAGTTTTACTTGCTGCCTTTAAGGCTAGGAACTCAAGAGATATAACTCTTTAGTTCGTGAGAACATTACCTGCCTCGGCGAATACACCCATATTGCGAGCTTCGTACAGCAAAACATTAAACGCAATTTTGTCCGCTGTTCAATATAAAGAGTGAGAGAAGTCTGCTCAGCTGGCAGATCATCGCACGTCTTTTCGCCAGAGCAGGTATCCTGCTCGATTAATTGCTAAAATCATGGCCGAAAGTCCATAGCCCCTGATACTGACGGCAGGAAATAAAAGGCTCTTAATCAAGGTCACTTTTTATGGAGACGCGTCAAGTGAACTTGTAAGAAGACGCCTAACGCGATCTGTATCACAGACCTTTCTAGTGGCTGACACATCTATGCTGTTACCCACAAGTATTATCCTATACGTAGAGGGTATGAGCAAACCACCAGCTCAGATCACCTCTATGTGTATTTGCTCCTTCACCTGCTCCTGTCGGACAGAATATATTGGTCGCAAGAGCCGCCGTTAATCCAAAAGAAAAAAAGGAGATTTTGCAGCATGGTTAGAACAGGTTAAATTATAGAAACATCAACATCTCGACCTTTGCGTAAATGGTGGTACAGACCACCGTGTAACCGCCAGAGAGGCCTGAAGTGGGATTTACAAGGTCTCGTCAAGCTATTCAAAATTACTTGGGCAGCGCTTGTTGGCTACAGCAGAGGCGGCTGCAATCAGGCTACGCGGACCACTCCTACGCGCAAGGAAGAATTTCATGCTGGCCCCACAGAAGTCATAGATCAAACCACCAAGCCAACCACCAGCATAAAATTATCTTCCCGGAACCCACCTTCCCCCTGGCGCTGACTGGTATTGTGGTGTTTTTTACTCACCCTTTCCCGTCTTCTGCCCTTCACAAACCCCAGCTACAACATACTTATCTACTTGCCCGTATCTTTTAATTCACTACTTTCATAGATAAATAAATGTACACGCCTGAAGTGAAGTTGTTGAACGCAGACGTATGTTCGCCAAACTTAATTTCGAATTGTTTAGTAGGAATTTTCGCAAATCTTAAATTGCCCAAAAATCCTCCGATTTTGACAGCCCTCAGTGGGTACCAACGGTTCAGCACCAACCTTGTGGTTACAAAAGTACGATGCAAATTTATTAGAGAATGCCTCGAGGGAAAATAGTACCCAAATCCCTACTGGAGAAAAATGCGACGGGGTCGTACGGTTATCACTTGTGGTAAGGTAAGTCGTTTTGAGAAACAGTACACGTGAATAAAAACATGTTTACCTTTTTACGCAAACCCAATGTGCTTTTGACATTTTCCATTTCATTTTTAGACTTCACTCATTAATTATGATTCTCAGCAACACAAAACCCGAAATAAATCACTATTATCTTTTTCTTGCCATCATGATCAGGCTCAAACACCCTTATTTTGAAACGAATGACCTGCGCCTGTAGTAGTAGTAGTAGTAGTAGTAGTAGTAGTAGAAGAAGAAGAAGTAGTAGTAGTAGTAGTAGTAGTAATAGTAGTAGTAGTAGTTGTTGTTGTTGCCGTTGGTGTTTTTGATGATGATGATGATGATGATGATGATGATGGCGAAGCGCCTTTCAGTAATATTTGGTCAGATGTGGCTACGTAACCGCACCTGAGGTATCCAAACCGCAGGCCTATGTAATACGCGCACGGTGGTAATAGGGCATTTACAGGTGGTCCGGGGAGTGCACATACGATGCGGTCAAGTAGCTGTATGTAAAAGAAAATTTTTAGGAACGCGCGATTGTAATTTGAGTGGTTAAGAAGTAGTTGCTATAGCTTCTAATCCTTTTCCTACAATGTAACCCCCCAAATCTATATATTAGCCATAATCCCTAAGCCTACCCCCTGACCAAACCATAACCTGTTACACTTACTTTAACCTCCAATCCAAACAGTATAGCGTCCATCAGTTAAGGATGCATAACCACATCTTACCCTATTCTCTATAGACCAAAAATGTTCAGAAAACCAAGTACTCACAGCATTCACAGGCCAATCCATTTTACAATTTCAGATTTAGGGATCGGATTGACAGAACGGTGGATTTAGTCATCCCAAGCTACACATCAGACCTACCTAAGACGGACGCTTTAGCGTTTTGCAATCAGAGCGACCATAACATGAACTGCAGAGATGCTCACGTCTGAGCAATTAGTCTGGGAAAACTTCTGTCTGTCAATACACACATACCAGCCATTCTAACAATGTTGAAGAGCAAGGGTCCGAATCTTTTATTAACAAGAGTCATATGTCCATGTGTATTTATATACAGTTAGGTGAAGGATAGACTGACCTGTCTACTTTATCTGATGCTTTCTCGTCAACACCACCTTATCGATGTTGTTGTCAACCTACATGGTGGTGGCCGTCTCTACGCTGCGCCTATCGCACGAACACGTATTTCACAGCATAAAGCATACAGAGTTGTTAAGTCGGAGTGTAGTAAGTTTCTTGCATGGAGCGAGGATGGGACGTGTGCGACTGTGTTTATTTGGAGGTGGTGGTACTCATTCCCCTCCGCTTTTCTTCATAACAATCGAAATTTTGCGCTGGTCTTTTAACTCTCTTTATGAGATATGCGAAGGCAATACTCAGTAACTCCAGACGGACTGTTTGTCTACATAACGTTATTCCGCCTAGTATTGCTACGTTTCCTATTCATTACTCAATCTTCTAATTAATCATAACACGGATTTCAAATGTTTCGAACCCATCTTCTTGCTACAATCGTGCGAGTGTGGTTGGCATAAAGTCAGACGACTTAGTTCAGCGGAGTCTTACTTCTGAATGCTTCGTCAAATCGAGTATGTGTCGGCCAAAACATTGTCGACCGAAAAACAAGCGTACGCACGCGAGTGTCAGTCTGGCCTTTTGACGAATCGCAGCCACGCAAGCAGACTAGACAGCTACAAGGCCGTCTGCATATGGCCCCGCCCAAAACTGCCACGAATGCTCAGTTCTCACTTGGAAGTCCACTCTTGCGGCGTTGAGGGTGTGCCTTCGTCCGGCCGCCAACGTGTTTTTACCTGTTCTCCACTATTTCCTACTTAAGCCCGCCTTGGCAGCAAGACAAGTAGAGGAACATAAAACCCGTGTAGCACTGTAGTATTGACGTACCCAAACTGTGCGTTAGTAGTTTGAGCATGTTGTAAGCGGCGGTCTGTTGGCATTGTGGAATCAAGGTATTTGAGATTTGCGAGCATCAATTACGGCTGAAAACCCAACAATCTGGTTTTTTTGAAGATTGCTGTGCCATGATTGTTCGGCCATCGATTTCGATGATGTCCACGGTGTGCCCGACAGCAGCATCGGTGCAAGCAGGGACGGTGACTTGCGTAGTGGTGTATAGTACCGGTAGACTTGCGCTGCACTCTCTCCTCCTCCCTCGCCCGAGCCTGGTGTCAAGTCAGGGCCAAGAAGACCGTTGACGAGGGAGGCCGCAGGTTGATGGCTTAGACGGTTCCTCACCTTTGCGTTCCACGACATCCCCTGGTGGTTTACACAACAAATGACCACGCATACAACCAATACGAGATCTGGAGGCTGGCACGGCCGAAGCCGCACCTAGGCGTGCCGTCAACGCCTTGCTCGGATTCCACACTGTGGTGGGAGTGCCATAAAGGCCACATTAAGAAGGAGCCATTGCAGCCTGACTCTCAAACCACCACCGGTCAAGGAGGATGTCCAAGTTACCCCGACAGTTGGCAAATTTCCAAGCCACGTATTCAGCCCACCAGTCTGCCAATCCACACAACACACACGCACAACGCGACGAACTGCGTGGACCGAGTGGGGACGTCAATCAGCAACCTTCCTATCCACAAGGGGGAGGAGGAGGAGCAGGAGGATTAGCAAGAGGAGGATGGAAGTGGTGGTTAAGATGAATTGTCAGAGTTAGTTAGTGGCTGAGAGAACGAGGAAGATGCTGGCGAAGGGATGGCAGTTGGTGCGGTAGGGAGGTGCAGATGGTCTGAAGGCGTCAAATAAGTCCAATTCGTGCCCAGTAAGTGCGTTGACACCGAGGAGACGTTGGTAGCGGTTGTGCGTCGGCGTTGCGGACGGGACGTAGCTGTGATATGCGTGCTTCGCGTTCCACTTTGGTAGCGACTATTCGGTTGGCCTCATTTAAAGCATCGCATGTCATCACAGTTGTCCTCCAGGCCGGTGGATCGTGTGCGAGCTCTTCTCAGTTGGTCGGGTTGATTTGCAGGCGCTTCATGGAGGACTTCAGAGTGTCCTTGTAACGGCGAATGTGGCCTCCTTGGCGGCGAGAACCCGTCGCGACGTCTCCGAAGAAGAGTCGTCTGGGTAGTCGCTCGTCGTCCATGCCCATCAGGTGACCGCTCCAACGCAGCTGCATTTGTCTCAGCGCGGTGTAGTTGCTGAGGGTTCCCGTCCGTTCCAGCGCATCAGTGTCGGGGATTCGATCCTGCCAGTTCAGCCTGAAGGATGCGACGGAGACAACTGAGGCGTGCCTGCTTTGTGTAAACTGTCTCCGCTCCGTACAACAGCTTCGACATTGTACATCTTCAGCTCCGTGCTCAGTTGAAGACCGTGACGATTCCAAACGGTGCTTTGGAGGCGGCCGAAGCCTTTACTGGATTTCGAGATCCCGCGAGCGACTTTGGCGTCGATTTTGGTGTTAAAGTATTGTGTTCTGCCCAGGTACGGGACGTTCTCCACCACTTGCTGTTGGGTTTCGTTTACACTGATTTGCGGCGCGTTGTGAGGAGTGGCTGTATTGGATGGCGGTTCATGCATGACCACCGTCTTCTGCGGGTTGATGACCGGACCGAAGTTCTTGCAGGCGGCGAAGAACAGGTCCACGCTGCGTTGCATCTCTTCTTCAGAGGTGGTGTTCAGGGCGCAGTCGTAGGCGACGATAAGTTCGTGAACGGTGGAATGGAAGTTTATCCGCCGCTGATTCAGGAGGTGACCGTCCCTCCTGTAGGCCATGCGGATCCCCGTGTGGTCATCACGGTAGACGCCTAAGCATTTTCCACATACAGGCTGCTTCTAGAGAATCTAAAATTTGGCACATATTCCTTAATAACCCGAATCTCAAAAATCGATGAATTGCTTTAATTTTGGAGTATTCGATTAGTTGTTTGTTTCGCGTGTGTGATTTTGAGATCTTTACTTTTGTTTGATGCGAAATGATTAATGATTAATAATTGAATGTAAAATTACACTAAAAGATTGTGTACCGGGGCAAATCTGGAGTGGGTTAATGCTCCAGTGCATATGGTCTTTACATGAAGAGGGGAGTAATGTTTTAAATTTAAAAGCAACCGAGAGCACGCATATAACTTGATGGAAATTATTTAAATTTTCTTTTCTGAAGGAGGTAACACATTATGCGTTGGTCCGAATACAGTCATTGAATATTGGCAAACTATGTGATAGACTGGCTTAAAAAATCCTGTATACACTGTCAACACCCATGGCCCACAGACTGCGCTGCAAAAGAACAAAACGAAATCTAAAGTAATCGCATAAGTAAGTAGCCGTTTCCTCTGCGTGGAAATAGCCCAACCGAAATTGATATTCCGGACACCTAAAAAGTGCAATGGGATGATCGGAGAGTACATTTTTGAATCAGCATCGTATTAATGGCAGATGCAATAGTGGGGCAAGTGACCGTCTGCGGAGATTAGGCAAGAAGTTAGATGTTCACATAACCGCGACTACTAAGGCTTGCCTGTATGCCAGCATACACAAACAGCAGATTCCGCATATGTAAGTACAGTCAATTCCCATTGTAACTGTAAAATGCTGAAGTTTTAAGGTGGCGAAAAAGGGTGATGTACGATTTCTGCCGTAGGCACAGTCCAGGCAATAACGTTCTCTGCTCCCAATGGGTGTCGCAAGACGCGATCACACACATATATTCCCCACCCGATTCGACCAACGCGGATTGTACCTAGCGCAAGATAGAGCAGCCAGTGTGTAGTGACGTCACTTGCAACGATCTATTTCATTTTCCCAATTTTTCATCCGTCATTCGTCAAGGAGTGACTGCACAGCGTATGAATGCAATATATGTATTCAAGTTGTTGCAAGCTAACCCCTTTATTGTAGCAGAGTCGAATGTAGACGCAATCGTTTATGCGCATCGATAAAGTGCATCTCATTCCGTCTGTCGTAGATGCAGCATGTGCTCACGCATTCACTACCACCCAGTTCCACCCATTTAGTGTGTACAAATACCTATAGACCTTCTCAAAATCGAGGGTCGTTATTCAACGTTGTTGGCATAGTATCGCCAATGCTACACCCTTCTGCCCGCTCAGTTCCGCACCCATCTGACCTTGTGCAGTAGAACTCTTTCATAAGCAGTTTTATTCCCTTAATGCCACATAGGCAATTGACATTTAATCAGCGCTAGCAGCATGACTGTAATTTGGTTGCGGAAAATGCGTTAAAGTCCATCAAGCAGACCGGAATTCAAATATCGCCCGCACTCTGATTTAGGCATATGCGATGGAGAAATCATCACAATGCGCAAGCATCCATGCGTGCAATTCATGATGTCTTTATTCAGCGTCAAATCATCTTAACAATCATCTCAAATCACTCAACATGTCGCTGGGTTACCGAACAAGATTCAAAGTCCAACCGGTAGACGAGGATTTCCATGGCCATATAAAAATGAGCATTGTTGGGCCACTTGTTGTACTCGCTAATTGGGCGAGAGAGATATAGAGAAATTTGAAGACCCAAATCCCAATACTTTCATATAAATTAAAATGTGTGTCAACTACGCTGGTAACATCGAAAAAAATTAGCATTACATTCCCCATCAAAGTCATTAACCGGAATGTCCTTTTAAAAGTGTACCGTGCGGTAAAATGCAAGCAGATAATAAATTTACCAATTTCGGATCATTAGGATAAATCATTAACGGTAGGGGATGACTGAATGATTGTCACTGCGGTTTTTGTTATCGTTGCGTTATCTAACAGCAAAATCCGGCTTATGATTATTAAATAATTTTCTTAGAAATGCCAGCCGTGACGTGGGGGCTGACAGAGAGTCTACGGAAGAGCTCAAAGGCGCAGATACGGAGCCTTTCTTAGTGCTTCTTTTATGCCACATAGAACAGAGTGATCTCATTCGGCTATTAAGGTAGTAATATTTGTCCTTTAAAGAGGTTGGTTGCACGCCTGTAAACATTTTCGAGTATGCTCAGGTCTTAAAGGACCCGTGAATTTTACGCCTAATCTGGGACTTCAAACCGTGGCAACAGCAAAGCAGTTTTCGTCGAACGTGCAGTATGCCAGCCGGAGAAAGTATTGGACTGATATCGCAGACTTGACGGTCTTTCAGCAGTGCAGTCTATGTAATTAAAGTGTGATCAGACTCCAGTTTTTATGTGTGTTAACCTTCTGTAGTGTTATGCCATTTAGGCGGCGATCATCGTGGTTCAGAAATCGGGTTCCATCGACACTACCTACTCCCTCTCATCGACTTGGACATTTGATATTGGCTGATTAAGAGCCTTTGACTCCACTTCAAGATAATTTTCCTAATACCTTTTCGGCTGAGTTTACCCCATTAAAGTCGATCTAAACTGTAAAACAGTCATCATTAACATGCCTTGGCGGGCCGGGTTTTGGCAAAAAACGGTCTCCATCATTGTGCACCTCTTTCTGCAGCAGCCGGTAATATTAGATGTGTTTTCCCTCACAAAGATAGACACAACGATTAAAAAAAGGTGAGCTCTAGGACATCAGAAGATGTCATTGGAGAATTGGAATATAGTTGTCGTATTCCTTTTTATGTAAACATAAATAAATTCCCTAAGTTCTGGTTCAGTTTGTATTTCTCGAACGCATACCACGTCCTTAGCTTTAGGTGCACAACAAGCATTCAATATATCTTGATGGATAAAAAATTAAATCGGATAATCTGCCACAAATTTACGCCTCAGAAATAATGAAAGCAGAAGCACTGGATAAAAGGTCTACTCGTCTGTGTCTTCCGACTGGTGAATAAAATCAACGTCACATTACAACTTCTGTGGTCTAACAGCGACGAAATTCGGGTGGAGGGACCTGGTGTTAACGAGAGGACCAAGACCATTCGGGTAAGAGCATTCGGACATGTGTTAAAGGCCACTGTTAGCGAAAGTGGGAATGCCAGTTTTAGCGTGCAGATTTACAGTGAAAAAACAATGAAGGCAACTAAGATGGAGGTCTGTGTTAGTGTTTAGTCGGAGGTTTAGTGCATACCGTGTCACAGTGTGATAAGCGCATGCATTCTAGACTAAGTACTTTGCCGCGCTTTCGTTGTGTAAACGAAAAGCCTGACGGTGTTTGGAATGTACATCGGGGTGTAGCATTGCCTACAAAGGCAAAACAAACTTTAATGCCCCGTTCTGGCTTATTGGCAGTCCTCAACCGGCCGTATACAACGTGTCTGTTGGTGACGTCATTGCCAGACAGTCTGCCCCCCAGTAGTTGGTGTCCCGTCTTATTCCCGGCAAGCACAGTTATGCGCGTGATAACGAAGTTTGATTAAAGGTCTTTTGGCAGGATGTGAGTAGGATTTAAGACGATTTGTCGCCTCTCCGACCCGTATGTTGACACTATAAATTGTCACCTGACTTGCCATTATTTCTAGTCAGTATATTTGTGTAGATTATTATGCACTCAGGCTCCCCTTCATCTACATGTTTGAGGTACTCATAACAATTGTCGGACAACGGGGGTACCAACACACTGGCCCGCAGCAATACGTTCGTTTGTTTTGAATTACCATTTTGTCAAAAAACGGCTGGCTCTGTCTCGTTTGTTTCGCGAGGGCACGTTGGAAGCAGCGACTGACGGAGCTGTTTAGGTATTCATCCATTTCTAGAAGTTCTCGAACTTTCCGCTGTTTCTGTACTCGTCCGCCCGCAGGACCTAGTGCAATGCATTAACTCAAATGCAATTATGTACTATTAGGTTATTGTTATGACGGCAATAAACGGGAGTTTTGTTAGTCGCGTGTTATACACAGTTTGACAGATTGTTTCGCGGCTAAAAGCAAATATTAGACATCCTTGAATTTATATGTGAACAGGAAGCCGGGGGAGAAGTTAGTAAGCAGACACAGACAGTCTGAGGAGAATGAATTGCTCACCGGATCGGGGGACTTTTCTGGCTGACGTTTCGAAGAGCTGGGGCTGCTCTCCATTGTCAAAGCGTTAAGTGAAGAAATCGATCAGCATTTTTGAATAGACTGCCGCATTAGTTGGCCCTGGGCTGATCGATTTTTTCTTCCTTCTCTGCCTCGGCCTACTGGCCGTCGCCTGTGAATGTTTGTGGCCTCCTGTAATACGTGTCGTCACTTCAATTGGGGTTGGTTGCGTTTGCTTTCCCATTTGGGTGAAGTGGTCGACAGGCCGTGTTTGCTCGGCATTCTTAGGCTCCGTGTGATTGTCTTGTTTTCGTCACGGTGTATGAAGTGACGTAGGACTTTATAGGCCGAAGGAAGGTCTAGATGCCTGTTGATGGAGTTGGCATCTGAGTACCAAGCCTCAAGATTGAGACGCTCAGTCCTTCAGGTGCCCCTGCCTATGACGGCTGCTCCTTGAAAATCAAAACTGTGACCAGTTTCTCCGATGTAAGCCGCAAGCTGTGAGTTTGGGTCTAGTCTCCGTGTTGCCAGTTTGTGCTCATGTAGGCGAGTCTGCAATTTCCGTCCGGTTTCCCCAACGTAGTTGCAGTCTCCATCCTTACAACGTATTTGATAGACAACTGCTGAGGTTTCAGTGGGTGGCAGTATGTCTTTGTGTTGCATCAAACGGCGACGAATTGTTGCCTGGGGTCGATGGGCAATACCTACCCTGGGGGGTTGTAGCAGTCTTGAAACCGCTTCGGAGACTCCTTTAATGTAAGGAATAGCCCTCCAGACTTCGGGTTGTTCTTCTTGTGGCCGTCGTCTGTTCACTCGGCGCTTGCTTTGCTTGA